GTGTGTGTGTGTGTGTGTGAGAGAGGGAGTGTGTGTGTGTGTGAGATAGAGTGTGTGTGTGTCTGTGTGTGAGAGAGAGAGAGAGAGAGTGTGTGTGTGTGTGTGTGTGTGTGTGTGTGTGTGTGTGTGTGTGTGTGTGTGTGTGTGTGTGTGTGTGCATGCGTCCTCACCTGCAGCAGAGCCAGCGCGCTTCCCCCCCGCCCGCTGAACAGATGCAGCTGCACCCGATACAGCAAGGCTTCCATCAGCTGGAAGGAGCCTCTGTCAGAGGAGGGGGAGGAGCCTCTGTCAGAGGAGGGGGGCGCCTCCATCAGCTGGGAGGAGCCTCTGTCAGAGGAGGGGGAGGAGCCTCTGTCAGAGGAGGGGGGCGCCTCCATCAGCTGGGAGGAGTCTCTGTCTGAGGAGGGGGAGGAGCCTCTGTCTGAGGAGGGGGGCGCCTCCATCAGCTGGGAGGAGGAGGGGGTCACCTCCATCAGCTGAGAGGGGGAGGGAGGTGCCTCCATCAGCTGAGAGGGGGAGGGGGGCGCCTCCATCAGCTGGGAGGAGGGGGGGAGCGCTTCCATCAGCAGGAACTGAAGCAGGCGCTCACACACAAAGTCCTTCCCCTCAAACGAGCCCTCCAGCGTCAGGTACTGAAACAGGAGGAGAAAAATGTACATCGTTATATTTATATATGTTTTTATTATTTATTCTACTATTTCAACAATTAGACAGTTGATACATCCGAAAAACCATCAGAGGAGTTAGTGGGATGGCAGAAAGCACGTCTTATGCAGAGGGAGCCCCCCCATAAAGAGTCAGTGAGTGTCTCTGGTGCCCACCTCCCACCACACCCTGTAGTGCGGCGCGTGCTCCACGGCCATCTCACACATCTGCTGCAGCTCGTCCCTGCTGCCCCTCCTGGAGAACAGGCTCAGGTAGTGGCTCCACACCTCGGGGTCCCCGCAGTTACTCTCCAGGGCCCGGGACAGCGTGTTGAGGGCGGCCTCCAGACCCTCCGCTGCACACCTGGAGGGACACAGGACAGCAAAGCACCCGTTAGTCCTGAACACAGGATCCACTTCCATCAGATCTCAGAAACAGGGTCCGAGGTTTCATGCAGGGATGGGAAGTTGAAAGCAAATGTATATTCGACCCCCAAAAAAACGTTTAACCGATTAACCGAAATGTACATATCCTATAAAAACAATGTGGGGAAAATGTTTACAAAAAAAGAAAATATTCTTTTTAATTTTGAAAAATAAATAAATACATGTTCAAATGAGTTTAGAAACAAAGTGGAATTCCTGAAATGTATTGAACTGCTGATCACAGTTTGAACAGCTGGCAGCTATAGGCCTGCAGCTTTCATGCTTAAAACATAACTTGGTTTTTAAATGAAAGGGGGATCAAACACGAACAACATGACGGGTCAGGGTAACGTAACCCGTGACAACAGAGATCAACAACCTGTAACAGGGCCTATCACAGAATGCAGCTGTTCAATACTCATTCTCCTTTAAGAATATGAGCATGTCTACTCAGGGGAGAGGCGGAGGCGATCAGGCCAGCTGTAGAGAAGACCCTCTGAGCTGGGATGTGGGCATGAGATGAGGTTTGAGTCTGCGTGATCTGCGTGTAGGGGCAGCAGCCATATCATTGGCTACAACTAGATCTGATGGATTTGGACATAAACGCGAGTGAAGTATAACCGGACGTGAGAGAGAGAGACCAGCTGCAGCTCTGCCCGCTGTGAGGGACCGTGAGCGGAGCAACACACACCTTTAGACCTGACACACTCAGCTATGGCACTGTCGTATACATTGAACTATTCCATTTGATCATATGTAATCAACTTAGGCATCACTCCCAATAAAATAAATACAAATATTCATAATCCATATTCCAATACCTGAATAATTTGAATATTCGATTAATCGTTCCCATCCCTAGTTTCATGCAGACTGAAGCTCTCTGTGCTCCAGTCTGACCCATCACTAAATACAGACACAAATAATTGTGTGAGTGTGAGTGTGCTCACGTGTGAGTGTGCTCACGTGTGAGTGTGCTCACGTGTGAGTGTGCTCACGTGTGAGTGTGAGTGTGCTCACGTGTGAGTGTGCTCACGTGTGAGTGTGCGTTAGGGCTGCTCAATTAATCGTATTTTAATCGCGATTACGATTATGGCTTGCAACGATTACGACAACAACGTAATCGAAATAAAACGATTATTTTTTTATTATTATTATTATTATCACTTTTTTATTTTATTTTTTTGGGTTTTTCAGTTGAATTATGCTTAAAGCTCAGGGTAATCAACTGTTAAAAACATACTGTTCACATTTTTTTTCTCCAAGTCAATGAATAATCACATTTAATAATCGCAATTACAATTATTGACCCAGATAATCGAGATTATGATTTTTGCCATAATCGAGCAGCCCTAGTGTCTGTGTGTGTGTGTGTGTGTGTGTGTGTGTGTGTGTGTGTGTGTGTGTGTGTGTGTGTGTGTGTGTGTGTGTGTGTGTGTGTGTGTGTCGTACGTTAACGTACGT